AGAGCAAGACTCCGTCTCAAAAAAAAAAGAAAAATTCTAAACCACAAACCAGACTTACCGTGTAACTCAGAGGTCCCCAACTTTTGGCCCGTGAACCAGTACCAGTCCATGCATATTAGGAACCAGGCCACACGGCTGGAGGTGAGCAGCAGGTGAGCAAGCGTTACTGCCTCAGCCTGCGCCTCCTGTCAGATCAGTGGTGACATTAGATTCTCATAGAAGAACAAACCCTATTGTGAACTGTGCATGTGAGGGATCTAGGTTGCTCAGTCCTTACGAGAATCTAATACCTGATGATCTGAGGTGGAACAGTTTGATCCTGAAACCATCCCCCCCACCATCATCTGTGGAAAAATTGTGTTCCACAAAACCATTCCCTGGTACCAAAAAGGTTGGGGACCGCTGGTGTAACTTTATATTTTATAGCACAGTTAGTCTGAATCAGGCAGTTTCCTTAATATAAATAGATAAACCCAATAGATAAGTTAAAAATGTGGACAAGGACCTCACCTTAATTTTCTAAGATGTCCATTTATCATCTATAAAAAATTAGGAAAGCCATATTCTTCTAGGTCAGTTGGTACTTTTCTTCTTGGCTTTGGTTTTGACATTATTTTGGGGTTATCTTAGTCTGTTTTCTGTTACTATAAGAGAATACCTGAGACAGTGTAACTTATACAGAAAAGATGTTTATTTTGCCCATGGCTCTGGAGAGTGGGAAGTCCAATGGCATAGTGGCAGCATCTGGCGAAGGCTTTTGTACTGTATCACAACATGGTGGAAAGCAGAGACCACAAGAGTGAGCCAAGCTTGCTTTTTTTTCTTTTTGAGGTAGAGTCTTATTTCTGTCACTCAGGCTGGAGTGCAGTGGCGGGGTCTTGGCTCACTGCAGCTTCCGCCTCCCAGGTTCAAATGATTCTCCCATTCTCATGCCTCAGCCTCCTGAGTAGCTGGGATTACAGGCACCCGCCATCACACCCAGCTAATTTTTGTATTTTTAGTAGAGATGGGGTTTCACCATGTTAGCCAGGCTGGTCTTGAACTCCTGACCTCAAATGATCCGCTTGCCTCTGCCTCCCAAAGTGCTAGGATTACAGGCGTAAGCCACCGTGCCAAACCCAAGCTTGCTTTTTTTTTTTTTCAGATGGAGTTTAGCTCTTGTTGCCCAGGCTGGAGGGCAATGGTAGGATCTCGGCTCACTGCAACCTCTGCCTCCCGGGTTCAAGCAATTCTCCTGCCTCAGCCTCCCAAGAAGCTGAGATTCCAGGCATGTGTCACCACACCCAGCTAATTTTGTATTTTTAGTAGAGATGGAGTTTCTCCATGTTGATCAGACTGGTCTCAAACTCCTGACCTCAGGTGATCCGCCCGCCTCACCCTCCCAAAGTGCTGGGATTACAGGCATGAGCCACCGTGCCTGGCCCCAAGCTTGCTTTTATAACAACCCACTGCTTTGAGAACTAACTCACTTCTGCTAATCTATTATGAAGCTTCTACCCTCATGACCCAGTCACCTCTTAGAGGCCCCCACCTCTTAATACTGTTACATTGGCAATTAAGTTTCTAACACATGAACTTTTAGGGGACAGACACTTTCAAACCATAGCAGAGGGTGTGGACTCAGAACTGAATTTGGTGAATCTAGAGAGAGTGGTGCTATGGATGGAGAATGGAAGGAGGTATTGCAGAGTTCATGGTAGCAACCCCTCATGTGCTACAACCTCACAGTCTTCTGTTTTGTAATTACACTATGGGAGCAGCAACCCTTGATAAGAACTGATACTATGTGCTTTTATGGAGAATTTAAAACATTGCTTATGGTTAAGCACGGTGGCTCATCCCTGTAATTCCAGCACTTTGGAAGGCTGAGACAGGTGGATCACTTGAGGTTAGGAGTTCAAGACCAGCCTGGCCAACATGGTGAAACCCCATCTACTAAAATACAAAAATTAGCCAGGCATGTTGGTGGGTTCCTGTAATCCCAGCTACTCAGGAGGCTGAGGCAGAAGAGTCGCTTGAACCCGGGAGGCAGAGGTTGTGGTGAGCCAAGATTGTGCCACTGCACTCCAGCCTGGACGACAGAGTGGGTGAGATCCCGTCTCAAAAAAGAAAAAATTGGGCCAGGCGCAGTGGCTCACGCCTGTAATCCCAGCACTTTGGGAGGCTGAGGCGGGTGGATCACCTGAGGTTGGGAGTTCAAGACCAGCCTGACTAGCATGGAGAAGCCTCGTCTCTACTGAAAATACAAAATTAGCCAGGCGTGGTGGAGCATGCCTTTAATCCCAGCTACTCAGGAGGCTGAGGCAGGAGAATCGCTTGAACCTAGGAGGCGGAGGTTGCAGTGGGCCGAGATCGTGCCATTGCACTCCAGCCTGGGCAACGGGCGAAACTCTGTCTCAAAAAAAAAAATGAAAAAATTATATTGCTTACTAGTCTTTGAAGTCTTTATCACTACCAGTCTGCCTTAACTTTGTGTACTAGTCCTATATTTAAGTTGTGAGACATCAGAAACTGGGTCCTTTAACTGAGAAATTTCTTTTTTGGTGTCCTGAGGGACTAATGCATGTTATCAGAACTTATTCAGGTTTTTGTTTTGTTGTGTGTGTGTGTGTGTTTTTAGTGTGGCCTTTTATGTATCCCCAAAATCATCTTGAGCATAGGAAATTAGATACTATGCATATAGTATAAGGCTTGCACATCATTTTTTAAAGTATTTATTCCTCCCGTCTAACCGAAATGTTTTACCCTTTGATTAGCATCTCTCGATTCCTCCTGCTCCCGTGCTTCTAGTAACCACAATTATTCTCTCTGTTTCTATGTGTCGAGGTTTTTTTTAGCTTCCACATACAAATAAGAACGTGCAGTATTTGTCATTTTGTGCCTGGCTTATTTCTCTTAGTGTCCTCCAGGTTCATCCATGTTGTTGCAAGTGACATAAATTACATCTTTTATAAGGCTGGTATTCCATTGTGTCTATATACTGCATTTTCCTTATCTGTTCATCTGTTGATTCTATAACTTGGCTATTGTAAATAATTACTCAGTAAACATGGGATTGTATATATCTCTTTGACATACTAATTTCATATTCTTTGGATATATACCCAGAAGTGGATTGCTGGATCATATGGTAACTATTTTTAGTTTTTTGGTTTTTTTGAGGGACGTACGTACTCCATTGTTTTCCACAATGACTGTGTTGTTACATTCCCACCAACTGTGTACCAGAGTTCCCTTTTCTCTACATCCTCTCCAAACTTGTCTTTCATCTCTTTTTTTTTTTTTTTTTTTGAGATGGTATCTCGCTCTGTCGCCCTGGCTGGAGTGCAGTGGTGCCATCCCGGCTCATTGCAACCTCCACCTCCCGGATTCAAGTGATTCTCCTGCCTCAGCCTCTGGAATAACTGGGACCACAGGCACGTGCCACCACGCCCAGCTAATATTTTGTATTTTTAGTGGGGTTTCACCGTGTTAGCCAGGATAGTTTCGATTTCCTGACCTCAAGATCCCCCCTCCTCAGCCTCCCAAAGTGCGTCCAGCCTCATCTTTTTGATAATAGCCATTCTGACAGGTGTGAGATGGCTTGCCCATATTTTTAAAGAGTTGCTTAAGGCCGGGCATGGTGGCTCACACCTATAATCCTAGCACTTTGGGAGGCTAAGGTGAGTGGATTTCTTGAGCCCATGAGTTCGAGACCAGTCTGGGCAACGTGGCGAAACCCCATCTCTACTAAAAATAAAAAAACTGAGGTGGGAAGATCACCTGAGCTGGGGGAGGTTGAGGCTTCAGTGAACTGTGATCACGCCACTGTGCTCCAGCCTGGATGACAGAGTGAGACCCCATCTCAAAAAAAAAAAAAGGTTGTTTAATGAGAAGATAGTAGCTGATCTTCTACTCACGTAATTCTGGGAACAATTGTGGTATTTGTTGTTATCTGCGTGTGCTCTGTGTTGGTTGGTGGGGAGAAAAAAAAGAGAAACAAGTTGGTAGTCGCTCTTCTCCATCGTAGATATGCTTGATTTGGGAACAAGTACTGAATATAGTTGAAAAGAAAAGAAATTAGTATTCCTTGTTTCCTTATTTAGTTTTCTGCCTGCTGAAAGCAATAAGTATGTTACCTCATATTCTTCCTTTATTGTTTGCTTGGAGTAGTTCCCCTCAGAGTAGTACTTGAAAGTTGGAAGTAGGTAGAAATGTGAACCTTCTGCAGTAGGGCTAATCAAGGGTTGTCTCCCAAGACCATGCAGGAGCCATAGGAAACATGAATTCAGTCTGAAGGAAAAGTTAAAAAAAAAAACAAAACCACAGTTGGGTACACACAAGGGGCCAAGTGAAAGGCAAAATATAAAATAGAGGATTTCAGTGTGTACCCAATTGAGAGTGCTCACTGTGCTAGAGTGAAACCTGAGAGTTACTAAGAATAACTTCACATATCCAGGCAGTCAGGTCTGGGGTATGGGAGAGAGAACAGAATCCTGCCTCAGATGCCATACTCCATGCCCTGCATACTGAGCAAGACTGTCTAGTTCGCTTCGTTCTTCAGATAGTTTGGACTTGTTGCTCACCTTCCTGGGGGAGCTTTTGGAGGTCGCAGAAGATTCTGGCGACTCTTGGAAAGGATATTTTTATTAGATTTGATTATAGCTGAGAGTGTCCAGCTTCCAGAAGAGTAGGACCTAACTCATTTTCCTTAAGTAAGTAACTTTTTTTAAAGTTCAGTTTTCAGCTTTGACTGACAAGATTTTTTTTATTCCAGTACAAAGGACTAAGTTAAAAGTGAAGCCATTATTGCCTTTTGTTGGTTTACCTTGTGAATGGCATTTGAGATCCTGGAAAATACATCTCCCAGTTTGGTTGCCGTGTCTTTCTGCCTGATACTTTTGATGACGGTGCTCTCTCTGCTTGGTCTCAGGACAGGCAGAGAGTTTCTGGCATAGCATTCAAACTCAAGAAAGCTTGCTGCTTCAATTTTTACTTATGGAAGACTATTCTCTCCGCAGATTTTTGCAGCTCAAGTAGCAGTCCTCCTTTCCAGCCCATCAAAAGCCATGTAACCATTCCAACAGCCCATGTGATGCCTTCTACTTTAGGGACCTCTCCTGCCAAGCCAAATTCTACACCTGTTGGACCCTCTTCCTCCAAACTCCCTTTGTCAGGGTTGGCTGAAAGTGTGGGAATGACAAGAAATGGAGACCTCGGAGCAATGAAACTTTCTCCGGGCCTATCTAGAGATCTCGTGTATCTCTCTGGTGCTCCTGGAGAAAATGGAATTGAGCAGTCCTGGTTTCCAGCAGTGGGCCATGAAAGACAAGAAGAGGCAAGGAAGTTTGATATTCCTAGCATGGACTCTACCCTCAATCAGTCGGCAATGATGGAGACACTTTATTCAGATCCTCACCACCGAGTCCGCTTCCACAACCCAAGAACCAGCACAAGCAAGGAGTTGTACAAAGTGTTGCCTGAGGCCAAGAAGGCACCGGGCAGCGGGGCAGTGTTTGAGCGGAATGGGCCACATTCTAATAGCAGTGGGGTCCTCCCTTTGGGACTCCAGCCTGCTCCCGGGCTCTCCAAGCCTCTGCCCTCTCAGGTGTGGCAGCCGAGTCCTGACACTTGGCATCCCCGAGAGCAATCTTGTGAACTCAGCACTTGTCGGCAGCAGCTGGAATTGATCCGTTTACAGATGGAGCAAATGCAGGTAGAGGTCCATCTTTCCTTGGTTTTCTAGATTCTGTACGTTCTTAGAATTATAATAGCTTTTGTCCTTTGAATTTTGGCTTTAAAGAAAATAGCTGTAAAAAGAAGGAAGATGTTTGTAGACAGGAAATACAGGCTTGTGAGCTGTTGGCCATTGAATCTGTTTGGTGGTCAAATTAAGCACCAGCTAGGGTCTCCAAAATAGCAAAAGGTTACAAAGGAAAATTTAAAAGGTATTTATACCAGTCACTAGGCTACAGAATTTTATTTAATCTTCATAGTGTACTAACGAGGTAGATGTAGAAACTTACCAGGTTCTTAGACATAATCTGTCCAGGGTCATAGAGCTGGTGATTGGTAGAGCTAGGGTTTAAAAACCATCTTTGAGGCCAGGTGCAGTGACTCATGCCTTTAATCCCAGCACTTTGGGCCAAGGCAGGCAGGAGTTCGAGACCAACCTGGCCAGCAGAGTGAAACCCTGCCTCTACTAAAAATGTAAAAATTAGCCAGGTGTGGTGGCATGCGCCTATAGTCCCAACTACTCGGGAGGCTGAGGCGGGAGAATTGTTTGAACTTGGGAGGTGGAGGTTTCAGTGAGCCAAGACCACTCCATTGCACTCCAGCGTGGATGACAGTGAGACTCTGTCTCAATAAATAAATAAATAAATAAATAAATATGAAAACCTTCTTTGAGCCCCTGTGTTCTATCACTTTTGTATTTTCCTTTTTTTTTTTTTTTTTTTTTGAGATGGAGTCTCGCTCTGTTGCCCAGGCTGGAGTGCAGTGGCGTGATCTCGGCTCACTGCAACCTCCACCTCCCGGGGGGTCAAGTGATTATCCTGCCTCAACCTCCTGAGTAGCTGAAACTACAGGTGCGTGCCACCACACCTGGGTGGTTTCTGTATTTTTAGTAGAAACAGAGTTTCACCATGCTGGCCAGCCTGGTCTCGAACTCCTGACCTTGTGATCTGTCCGCCTCGGCCTCCCAAAGTGCTGGGGGGTGGGGGGTGAGCTACTGCACCTGGCCTGTATTTTCTTTTTTCTTTTCTTTTCTTTTCTTTTTTTGTGTGTGTATGTGTTTTTTTTCTGGAGACAGAGTCTTGCTCTGTCTCCCGGTGGCATGATTTCGGCTCACTGCAACCTCCACCTCCCAGATTCAAGCAATTTTCCTGCCTCAGCCTCCTGAGTAGCTGGGAACCACAGGCGCATGCCGCCACCACTGGCTAATTTTTTGTATTTTTTAGTGGAGGCAGGGTTTCACCCTGTTGCCCAGGCTGGTTTAGAACTCCTGAGCTCAGGGAGTCTGCCCACCTTGGCCTCCCAAAGTGCTGGGATTACAGGCGTGAGCCACCACGCCCAGCATATTTTCTTTTAAAAAATCCTTATGCTGCTGAAGAGTGGGAAGGAAGGGAGCAGACATATTCCCCTTCCTTGGTTGGTGAGGACATCCTAGCTCCTGGTTTGCCTCTGTTGCTAGATAATAAAAGATAAATGACCTTTTCTTAGAAACTAGAGCCTTTTTGAACAGGGAGTGTTCAGTTGGCAGAAGCCTTCCTGGCAGGTTCTTTCCAGTCATGCCTCAGAGCTAAAATTATTTCATAAACATTGGGCCTCATCAGGCTGAGCCAAGTTGGGCCTTGACTACAGACCCAGCTGATTACTGCTCAGGTGTTTTCAGGCATGTGTGGGTCAAGATCAAGCTTATCTGGGCCTACTTGCCTTTCAGCTTCAGAACGGAGCCATCTGCCACCATCCTGCTGCTTTTGCTCCTTCACTGCCCATCTTAGAGCCAGCACAGTGGATCAGCATCTTGAACAGTAATGAACACCTTCTGAAGGAAAAAGAGCTTCTCATTGATAAGTAAGAGGGCAAGGGGTACCACAGAGCCAGACTACTCTCCCAGGCCCCACTGAAGACACCTAATGGAGTCTTCCCAAGGGCAAAACATTCCTCCTCTGTTTAGGCCCATGTCTTGTCTCACGGTGGAGGCAGTTTGATAAGCAGCCTAGTCGTATATATAGCTAGTGTAATAGGCCAGTTATGTATTTCTTTAGGGCTCTAGGGAATGCCTGAAGGGGGTAGCCAGTTCATTGCCTCTGATCTTTTCCTCATTTCCCCTCAGTTATCTTTCTCATTTGTTGTTCTTCCTTCAGAAAATAGTGATATCCAGAATCTAAGATCTTGCTTACATAATAGGGATTATACTTAGTAGGGGCTTATATTGCGAGGGGTTAGCATCAGGACCTTGACCCGATTCTACCGACTTGTGCAGGCAGAGGAAACACATCTCTCAGCTGGAGCAGAAAGTGCGAGAGAGCGAACTGCAAGTCCACAGTGCCCTCTTGGGCCGCCCTGCCCCATTTGGTGATGTCTGCTTGCTGAGGCTACAGGTAAGTGTTGGCAATCAAGATGGCATTCTGTTTGTCATAACTCAGTGTCTTCCCTATGCTTGGCACCATTAGGTATCCAGGAGATACAAAAGAGATCAAGTGATGTAAGTGTCCCTGCCCTCAAAGAGTGAACATACTAATTATAAAGCACCCTTTATCATGCCCTAGTGGTGGCAGAAAAGGCTAAGAACCAGGTGAAAGTCCAGATGCCTGGGTGTCAAGACATACTTGGGAGAAAGGTAGATAGTAAAGTCCTAGAGTTGAGTGATGTTACGAGAAGTCTTAATCTTCTAGCCCTGGCCAAAAGGAGAGAGAGAGGCAAACGTAATGCAGGATTTAGAGCCATTCTTTCTTTTTTTTTTTCCTCCCTGCTCTGTCACCCAGGCTGGAGTGCAGTGGCACAATCTCGGCTCACTGCAACCTCCGTCTTCCTGGTTCAAGCGATTCTCCTGCCTCAGCCTCCCAAGTAGCTAGGATTACAGGCGCCTGCCACCATGCCTGGCTAATTTTTATGTTTTTAGTAGAGATGGGGTTTCGCCATATTGGCCAGGCTGGTCTCGAAATCCTGACCTCGTGATCCGCCTACCTAAGCCTCCCAAAGTGCTGGGATTACAAGCGTGAGCCATTGCACCCGGCCATTCTCATTTTTATCCTCCATATCTAGGAGCAGCTAAAGAAGATAATATTCTCACTGAGATCAGTGGTTGTGGGGATTGAGAGCTTGAAAAGAAGCCTGCTTTGTTGACCAAGCTTCTGCAGTTTGGGCATTTGAATGTTGGATATTTGACAGGTTATAGCACTGGCTTTGCTACCTAATTAAGGCAGTATCCTGTCTCATAGAATCAGAATGTTAACAGTGGGAAGTGCCTTAAATAAAATCTAGTTAATTCTTCAAATTTACTGATGAAAGAATTGAAGCCCGAGAAAGAGGAAGACCTTGCCTGAGATCATGTAGAGAATGAGTGGAAGGAAGCCAGGCTTTAAGCCCAGGTCTTTTGATGTCTTGTCTTGGGTTCCTTCCAGTATACAGTGGCTTAGGTGCTTTAAGACAGTGATTCTCCAATGTGAGTGTGCATCAGAATCCCTGGAGCGCTTGTTAAAACACAGATTATTGGGACCCATCCCTATAGTTTCTGATTTGGTGGGCCTAAGAGTTAGGCTTCAGAAATTGCATTGCACATTGCTAACAAATTACAGCAATAGGTAAGGCTGATGCTGTTAACCCTAAGACCCAGTTGAGAACCACTTCTTAAAGAAATTATTGGAGAAAAATGATATTTGACCATGAAGTGTGCTGGGAATAAATAAAGTACATGAGACCATAAGGGTAGAGAACAGTTACATATTGAGAATCTTTCTGGCAGGAATTGCAGCGAGAAAACACTTTCTTACGTGCACAGTTTGCACAGAAGACAGAAGCCTTGAGCAGAGAAAAGATTGACCTTGAAAAGAAACTCTCTGCTTCTGAAGTTGAAGTCCAGCTCATCAGAGAGTCGCTCAAAGTGGCGTTGCAGAAGCATTCTGAGGAAGTGAAGAAACAGGAAGAAAGGGTGAGCTGAATAGCTGATAGCCCTAATTCACAAAGGAATTGGCAGTCAGCTGTCTACTCTAAAGCCTAAGCTGTTTCTGGCCCCCATTCCTGAACTAAGAGGAGACAGTTGGGTGAGATCCTCCACTGACTTCTCACACAGAATCATCACGGATCTCCTTTTTGCTAGAAATGGAACTCTCCTCCCTCCCTCATTTTTGCTTCATCTCCACAAAACCACAACAGTCAGGGAAAGTTGTATGATCCCTCACTGTCCCAGGTTGTGCTGTGCAATGTACCACCAGCTGGTCTGGGTAGAAAACCAACTTGAGTACTCATACCAGATGGCACTGTTGCAAGATATTTAAATACCTGTGGTGTATTTATGTCATTCAGTCTGGTTTCTCACCCTTCCTAAAAAGTAGAGAAAAATTCCATGTGCGCCAGGCATGGTGGCTTACACCTGTAATCCCAGCACTTTGGGAGGCCAAAATGGGTGGATCACTTGAGGTTGGGTGTTCGAGACCAGCCTGGTGAACATGGCGAAACCTCATCTCTACTAAAAATACAAAAATTAGCCGAGTGTGGTGGCTAGCACCTGTAATCTCAGCTACTCGGGAGGCTGAAGCAGGAGAATGGCTTGAACCCAGGAGGTGGAGGTTGCAGTGAATCAGGATCACGCCATCACGCTGTTGCACTCCAGCCTGGGTAATAGAGCAAGACTCGGGGAAAAAAAAAAAATTCCATGTGCACAGCTAGTTTGGGTGTTTTTTTTGTTTGTTTGTTTGTTTGTGTTTTTTTGCCAGTACTCTTAAAATTGCCTTAGGTTTAAAGTTCTTTGGTTTTGTTGTTATCTCCTAATTCATGGCTTGCTTTAAAAAGCGTGTGTTTTTGGGGAACCAGTTTAGTAATGTTAAGTTCTGGACCACTTAAAACAACTAGAGCAATACTTCTCAAACTTCAGTGTTTCAGAATCACTTGGGGATCTTGTTAAAAATGTACATCAGATTCAGTAGTTCTAGGAGGGGGCCTGAGATCCTGCATTTCTTTTTTTTTTTTTTTTTTTTACATGGAGTTTCACTCTGGCACCCGGGCTGGAGTGCAGTGGTGCAATCTCAGCTCACTGCAACCTC